GGAGTGTACATGGGCCGAAACGTAACAAATATGGCGACAAAGATCAAAACAATAGTCCGAATAATGTAAATAGTGTACATAATACCTCATCTCAGAAATATAAACAGATACTGAAGATGGCCGGAGCGTACAAGGGCCGAAACGTTGTAATTTAATACAGCGACAAAGACAATAGTCCGAATAATGTAAATAGTGTACATAATACCTCATCTCAGAAATATAGACAGATACTGAAAGGCCGAAACGTTGTAATAAATATGGCGACAAAGATGAGGACAGTAGTCTGAATAATGTAAATAGTGTACGTAATACCTCATCTCAGAAATATAGACAGATACGGAATCAGTTTGGTCAAATAGATTTTGTGTGTGCAACGGTTTCCAGCGATAAACTGTTTTAACTCTATGTACAGACGCTGGTTTTCAGAAAAGAGTAATGAACTTTTGAAGGGCATTTAATACGTAAGGAAAGAAGCTTATAGATGAGTGTGTCTTTTATACAGAATTATTCTTTTGCAGTAGATATCGTCATTGTCGCTTACTGAGCTCATTTTTTTCTTTTTTCTTTTTCTTTTTTTTTTTTTTCATCATGGAACCCAAAAAAAATGGCCGATGATAGATAAATGCAAAATATGTTTTCAAGTGTGGGGCATTGAAAAGAGAAATGAATTATGTTTTTTAAGTAACATTGTTTTTTTTCTGCTGTTTTTTTTTAACATTTTTTAGCTTTTTTCTTTCTTCTTGTCGAGTGAGTCATCCTTTCATAAATTTCCTATCTTTTTCTTTTGTCCAGTCACCTGTTTATCAGCTTCCCTCCAACACTGCCACATTTTGCTCGTCAATTTCTCCAATTTTCCCAGCAGTTTTTTTCCTTCCTTTCTTTACAACAGGCATTTACTAAACATGAGTTTTATCTCTCACAAGGCTTCAGTAGGAGAGGGCCTGGACATAATTGAATCTACTACCGTGAATATATATATATATATATATATATATATATATATATAAATTTTAATGGAGAATTAATCCGCTATTGTTACTTATTATTATAAACCTTTTCTTTAGTGTTTGCTTTATTTTTTCAAACAGTCAAATTAATATCAACCGGCCTAGATCTACTAAAGAAAAGTGTGATTACTAAGGTTCATTCCCTTTTTTGATTGGACTGCAGAAGAGTGTCTCCTCGTGTAATAATAAATACAGGCTTGATTCTGGTAGGCAGACACATTCTTAGTAAGACTTCTCGATCTAGGCCGGTTATATATATATATATATATATATATATATATATATTTGTGTGTTTGTGTGTGTACCGAATAAATTTAAGAAAACCAAAACATTAAAATAACCCATTCATGATACCCGCGCAGACAGAAGAAACATACAATGCATTTAACCTGAAAGTACACACATTGCTCCATAACCCAAACGAGGAAATTTGATGGGACAAAAATCAGTCTGGTCAGAGAAGGAATACATCCCCGAAATATCCAGGAAACCCGCTCGCTCTTTTTATGTATAAGAGTGGATACTGAGGTCAACACTGAGCGGAGTCTGTTTCATGCTTAAACGCAACCTTCAGGCTAAGTTTTTTCGCTCGTCTATTTATATATGCTGGGCAATGGAAGATTACAGGCAGTAAATTCTATTGTATTATCTTAACTGTTATTGAGTAGACATTTTGAGATAAGTTCTGATTGTTTATTTATTAATTTCTGTTGCTCTGGAAAGGTGATTATAGCTATTTTCTCTTCCAGACAAAGTTTAATTTCTGGGACTTCTTGTTGTAGACTGGTGCTGTTTTCCTTATTTTCCATGGTATTTTTGTTTTTGATTTTCTATATATATTTACAAAGGTTTTTGCTTTTCGCGTATTTGCTATTTGTAAATGATCGTTTATGTAGGTAGTTCAATGTAGGTCCTTCAGTTACTCCTATGTATATTTTCTTCGTTATCTGCTGATTTTCATTGGCTGGGTATACTATATTGTTTTGCAAACAATTGCTATTTAAGCGATATTCATGCGTGGTTATTAAGTTACACGTATGTTTGAATTGTGCGGACGGTTTGTTAGTTATTTTTCTGTCGTACTTTTTTATTATTTGTGTCATGTTCATGCAACTGTAGCTGATATTTACTATGTTCCTGTTGAATATCTTATGGAGTGTGCTTGTTGAGGAAAAGCGTTTGCTTATAAGTTTAATAAATATTTTCCTTCTTTGTTTTTAGGTTTTTGTTGCAAGGTGGACTAAAAACCTCATGTTCTTAATAGCCTCGTCAGATCGAGACCTTCATATGGATGCCATACATTACGCCAAACCAGTTCGGAAATATTGTAGTCGTAAAGAAAAGAAAAAGGAAAAAAAACTGTCAGCTTATAGTAGCAACAAACGTCTGCAATAGATTTCTTCTGTCTCTCGACCGCAACACTTGTAGCCAAATCAGAGTTCAAATGATAGTCCGTCGTGACAGTCCAACAAGCAACGTAGAAACGACAAAATGGGATCACACATCCCACCTTCACTTCTCACCAACAAAAACGCGTGTTCGTCCACCAAGATCAGAAAATCTAATTCCCACATAAACGAAAAACAACGGCGTTTGTTCACCGCCGAGAGATCTTTCTGATTGATCACGCCATTCAGGGGAGGGAAGAACATTAGCAGAGATTCTGGTCCTTAAAGGAGATTTTTGCTAACTACTTTTTGGTAATTTTTCTTCGGCAGATCGCACGCAAAACATGAACTCTTTTTCGAGATAGCTGATTATCTCTTTCACTACAAATATCTAAACTGTCAGTTGGATACAACCACATTCTAAGATCTATGGTTAAGAATGGCTTTGAGCGAGTGAAACCTGTGGGTTTGTACCAATATCACCCTCCTTTGAACATTGTAGACTGATGCTTTCTTAACAAAGAAATGTACCAAATAAAGGAAGCCACATAACTTATCAACAGTAGCAACAGCTAAAATGGATGTCACATGTAATGTTGAGAAGTGCGAGACATGAAGTTATTGGAGTAGAAGAGACAGCCATGTTGGAGAGAAAATAATGACATAATCAAGATGTTAAAATGCCACACTCGTTCAAATAAAATGTTAAAAAGGAAAGCCTCATCAATATTGGAAAGAGCAATAACAACTACTGGAAGTGAAAATCGATTCTCTTGGACAATCCTTTTGAGATACAGATTTTAAAAACATCAACCAACAACAGCAGTGACTACTCAGTCAATGGCAAATGTTTCTGTTGTAGCATACCTACGGACGATAATGGATATGACCCCATTTACATAAATACAGTAGTAAATACTGTATGTTGGTCTGCATTGGAAAGATTCTTCTCCCGCTTTGCTGCTCAAACTTTATGCCTCCGGACAGAGAGGATCCCCAGACGAGGTTATGTCGAAGGGAAGAGTTTCATCTCAGAAAACAGTAACCCGATCCCGTTTTATACGGATCTACGGGGAATTTTTGGCCGAGCCTACAGGCTCGGAAAGCCCACATTAAATTCGGCCTTGTGCCACATTTGACCGCGTTGGGCGGTTGGTAGATATCCTGCAGTTGGAGATTCGTTTCCAGCTGTGCTGGTTGAACTCTCTGACTCCGGGCGGAGAGGATTCCTAGACGAGGCTATGTCGAAGGTCAGAGTCTCGTGTTGAGAAATAGCTACCCGACCCTGTTTTATACGGGATCTACGGGGAATATTTCGTCGAGTCTAAGGGCTCGGTACCCACATAAAATTCAATCTTGTGCTACATGTGACAGCGAGGGGCGTTTGGTAGATATCCTGCAGTTGAAGATTCACTGTGGAATTCATTTGACTCAATTCTAGCTGTTGATTTCTTTTTCTACGCGCCGCTGGCGAATCTTATATGTGTTGGTCTTGTCCTAAGTATTATCATTCATTACCAACCTTCTTGTGATTATTCCATTCAGTAACCTTCCCTAGATTACAACAGTTTCCTTATAGGGAAACAGCGAATATTACCATGGCTATTTATATACGATGCATTTTAAGGAAATCATATATTATAATAAATGTGAATAGGACATTTTAATCAAGTTCTACTCGGAATAAAGAGTGACCAGATTAGAGGATTTATCTTTTGTTTTTCTCTTTTGCTTTAGCATTATCGTTTTTGTCTGATTTTATTTTATTGTACTTCTTGACATTATTGATTCCTCCTCCCCTTTTTCCATCAATGATTCTTTTGTTATTATTTCATGTCACTTTGCGTTTGTTATTATTACTCTATCTTTCACTGTTTTTTTTCCAATTTTTCTGCTGCTGCAGCCGCTATCACTGCGATTGGCCTCCTTTTGAGAAAAAAAAACAAGATGAAAATATGTTTACTCTTTCGAGTGAACGATTTCGTAATTTTTGGCTCGTTTCAACGAAATATTAACCCAAGTTGCTAACTTTCGACTGTCGAATGGCGCCGGTCGACTAATGTCTTCCCTCCACCTTATAACTCAATTTTCTAAATCAAATAACACTAATCAAAAATAAGTTTGTTTGCTCTGAGACTCTCCCAAAAGACCTGACAGTCATTTAACTCAGACTGGTTTATAAAATTGACTTAAAGGAAAAAAATAAGATGGCTGATTTAAACTGAACTGTACTTTTTAACAGCTGCGAAATGATTTAGTAATTCGCAGATACAGCTTTTATCTTCAGAAATATTATTACAATTAATATTTTATTCTTAATTGTGAAAGAAGATTAAGAACTTATTTGTTTTTTATGGTTTGTCAACATTTTACAGGTTATTTAAAGCCATAAAATATTTTTAGCTTGTAAGAAGTTTTTGTTGATAATAATGATTTACTGATACAAGCCCTACTAATTAACCCATAAATTGGGTGGGAAGAGATGTGGATTCGTACATTTTCTAAGAGTGCGTAATTGAATATAACAAACACGACCGATATTGGAACTCCGCTCTCAGATTTCCAAATCCGAGCCGTTATCCATTAAACCACCAGCATATCCAAGCTTACAACACCTGGTATTTCCAAATGGTCACTTATCTCGGTACTAACCAGGCTCGACGTTGCTTAACTTCGGATTTGGTACGAGAACAGGTTTTTCAATATAAGCATTCAAAAGTGGAAATAGAACAAAAGAATTTAAGTTCAGATAATAACAGTAATTGGTTGATCTTCTTCAGCATTCATTCTATGTATCAAGGCTGAAATCTATTGTTTTAATTTCGAACACAATTGTATGCCTTCAACTACAAATTATATGTATTAGTTATTTTGCTAAAAAAAGTATTGTCGGTCATTTTTATATAAAAATGTGCTGCTGATATTCTTACTATAAATATGTATTTTTATACTTTCTCAGGGTAGTAAATATGCGAACAGCACAATGCTTTCTAAGTATATCTGAGAAATTAAAAACAAAACGCACATCACACCAAATATATCTTGGAAAATAAGGAAAAGATCATCAGCCTACAACAACCAATCAAAAACTTGCAAACTTTGCTTGGAGGAAAAAATAGCTATCATTACTTTCCCAGACCAAAATAAATTATTAATTAAAAGATCCGAGCTCATCTCAAAATGCAGACACGAAAACAAATTTTTATTACGTTACTTAAAAATCGAAAACGGAAAAAATAAAATAAAATAAAAATAAATAAACAAAATAACAATAAAATAAGCTAAATTAATTAACCCAAACAAATTACCAAATCACGCCAGTCAGAACAGACGAAATTGAATTAAAAAAACAATGAACCCAAATAAATAAAGTAAATAATAAACAAATTAGCAAACGATTATGACGAAAATATTAGTTAGACTATAAAAATCAAACCAAAAAATCGGACGAAGAAAATAGCTATAACGGTTATATAACGATAAAAAAATACTACGTTACTTAAAAATCAAAGAAACCGAAAAGGGAAAATATACAGTATAAAAAATAATAATAAGTAAATAAATTGACCTAAATTCATCCAAATAAATAAATAAACTAACCCCGATAAACTAACCGTTAGAAAAAACTAAGATAATCAATCCAAATAAATACATGAAGTATTAAACAAATTAAAAACTGTTCCCGCCAAAATAATAGATAAACTACAACAATCAACCCCAAAATTGAATAAATAGCTTTAATTATCTTCCCAAACAAAACAAAACTATTAAATAAGCGATATAAACAAATTTTTACTACGTTAATAAAAACATCGATAAAAGAATAAATAATGAATGAATAAATAAATATATAAGATAAGAAATAAAAATAAAAAATAAAAATTAATAAAAACAAGCAAAATAATTTAACCCAAATTAATAAACAAACAAATAAACGACTTCCGATAAAATAACAGCCAAAATAGACTACCCACAAAGCACCACTGACCGGTATATATATAAATAGCCGAGAAAAATAGCAGCACTCATGGCCTGAGGATTGCATCTAGCATGAAACAGACTGTCGCCTCTAAGTGTTGAATTCTATGTTCACTTTTATATTTACACACGCTCTATCTCTGATATTGAGCACTTTATCCCATAAATATAGCACATCTTAAGACTATATTTTTTCATATATATATATATATATATATATATATATATATATATATATATAATGTGGTTGGCACTGATCTGGCATCTCGTTTACAGTCTCTCTCTCTCTCACACAGACGTGCCGTCACCTCTCCCTGTCTTTTATACAAATACTTTCACGGTAACTGATCCGATGAGATATTTTCGCTAGTTCCCAAACTGGATGAATTTAAATGTGCCACTAGGTCGGCATGTCGGTCCCACCCTTTCATTGTCGAAACGGTTAAATGTGGTTGTCTCTTCTACTCCAATAGCTTCATGTCTCGCACTTCTCATCTGTAGAGCTCCCCTCCTCTTACTTGCTTCCTTAATAGATATAATCTTCAACTATTCAAATGCAATGTCAATCGACATCTCCAGATGCCTTGATCTATTGCCCGACCTTCTCTTCATACTCCCCCCTCTCTCTCTCTCTCTCTCTCTCTCTCTCTCTCTCTCTCTCTCACGCCTCTTTACTCCTGCCCCCAATTTCTGTAACCCCTTCCTTGGGGCGAGAAGTATATATATATATATATATATATATATATATATAGGAAGAAAATATGATGACCTCAGTGTCCTTTTTAAATTTACTTACGCTCTTTGATACTGAGCCATTTTACCCATAAATATAACATAATTTAAATTATATTTTTTCATATGTATACATATCTATGTCTATCTATCTATATGCATATATAATATATATTTTGAACAATAAAAAATATTAAAATATTAAAATCTTCAGACACATTGGGTTCTATATTAATATTTCTTAGTTTTTATTATTATTTCATTTAGATTCCTCAACTAGTTTCAGCCAACATGGCCATCATCAGGAGAAAAATAATTTTCTGCTTGCTGGTAGCAGTGAACTACAGAAATGAATGTCTTGATGGAGAAAATGAACTTTTGTCTGTAGTTTTCACTTGTTTTTTTTTATTTTTTTATCATGAATTTTGGTCATTCTTTGTGTTGGTAAAACAGTCTCTTTTAAGTTGTTATTTAACATAAGAGCTGGTTTGATTCATGCTGCTCTGAATTCCTTTGGTCATTCTGACAGTTTTATTGGTTCCTGGAAAGAGGATGTGTCTCTGTTAAGTGTGTGTGTGTGTTATTTCGTTCTTAGGGAGTGAATGAGTATGATGTGTGTAAGTGTGTATATTGTGTGTATATTGTGTGTATAAGCGTAAGCGGTTTGTCTTGTGTGGGTGAGAAATGTGGGTCTGTTTTGATTTGTTGAGTTATATATTAGTACTATCTATATTGTTAAATTTATGATCAAGCCCGTCTGGATAGTGCGTTTTAAAAGTTGTATCCACTTATTTTCATGGAACTCTAAAATCTTTCTAATGTTATCTGAACTTTTCTATTCTCTCAATTATAGTGAATTTGGCATGGGTTTTAAAATCGTGTTTTTCTATGCGGAAATGTTGTTCCTGGGGAGTAAGATGGGGTATTATGTACACTATTTACATTATTCGGACTATTGTCCTCATCTTTGTCGCGTGAAGTACATTACAAATAGCTGTTAGAACTACAAGGTAACATTAATATATTGGAATAGTACATAACCTGTAGTGGGAGAAAATGAATTCAGTAAATATACGAAAATAAGAATAGGAGTAAGACAAAGATATATCGTCTCTGAGTATTTATTCAACCTTTTCAGTGAGGCGATTCGGAGATAATTTATCAAGATTCATTTATTGGTGAGCGCAATCTTCATAATCTATTATCTAATATCAGACCTCATCAATGGCAGTGAATGCTGGGTCATCTCCACACAGATGAGAAAGAAAATCGCGGCGATAGAAATGTCGTTCTACCGAAGGATGATGAGAATGCCATAGAATGAACTTGTGAGCAATGGGAACAAATAAGATACTTTAAGATCAGAATGAGACAGTTGAAACTACTAGGGGATATAATGAGGAAAGAAGGATTGAAAATTAGACACTCACAGCATATATTGAAGGCAAGAGGGATAGAGAAAACAGTAGACACATACATACACTAAGAACCGTAAATTCTATTTTAACAGTTTCTTCTCACGCACTTCTTACGTATGGAAATCTCTTCTAGATACTTGGTTTCCTGTATAATTTAAACTTCAAAAATTTAAATGCCATATTAATCATTATTAATCTTCTTAATTTATATTCTTTTACTGTTATATATCCATAATATTTTTTTTTCTTATATTCGTTCGCATTCAGTGGCTTTATTGCGTGCATGTGCCGAATGGATAAGAAAAAGGAAAAATACTAAAAAAAAGTTTCTATCGCACACAGTAACCTATTGCTTTTTAGTGGCTTTATTGCTTGCTTGTGGTAAATAATAACAAAAAAGGAAAAAATAGGGAAAAAAATTTTCTTTCGAACTCAGTAAGCCATGGCTTCTTAGTGGCTTTATTGCCTTGCTTGTGGTAAAATAATAACAAAAAAGGAAAAATAATGAAAAAATATTTCTTTCGTACTCAGTACGACATTGCTCCTTAGTGGCTTTATTGCCTTGCTTGTGGTAAAATAATAACAAAAACGGAAAAATAGTGAAAAAATGTTTCTTTCGTACTCAGTACGCCATTGCTTCTTAGTGGCTTTATTGCTTTGCTTGTTAAAATAATAACAAAAAAGAAAAAATTGTGAAAAATGTTTCTTTCGTACTCAGTACGATATTGCTTCTTAGTGGCTTTATTGCCTTGCTTTTGGTTAAAATAATCACCATAAAGGAAAAATAGTGAAAAAATGTTTCTTTCGTACTCAGTACGACATTGCTTCTTAGTGGCTTCATTGCTCTGCTTGTGGTAAAATAATAACTAAAAAGGAAAAATATTGAAAAAAATGTTTCTTTCGCACTCAGTAAGCCATTGATTCTTAGTGGCTTTATTGCCTTGCTTTTGGTTAAAATAATCACAATAAAGGAAAAATAGTGAAAAAATGTTTCATTCATACTCAGTACAACATTGCTTCTTAGTGGCTTTATTGCCTTGCTTTTGGTTAAAATAATCACCATAAAGGAAAAATAGTGAAAAAATGTTTCTTTCGTACTCATTAAGTCATTGCTTCTTAGTGACTTTATTGCCTTGCTTGTAGTGAAATGATGAAAAATTTAAAAATACTGAAATAAATGTTTTCCTTTAGGAACTAGGCTAGATTCTATTATATCGGTATAGTCTACTTATTCCATATGTCTAGAGTATTAAGTGAGAATGTAATTAACGACACAGCCACGTCTCACCAGAGACTCGTATAACAGTAATTGTTTACTGCTGTAAACAATAAGACGTTTGTAGATTTTCTACGTCCCACGAGTATCTGAACTAGACGCATATTTTTATCAAAATCTGACCTTCAAAGTCATCTCGCGACCTACAGTGTCAACATCAGCGTGGGTTCAGATATGACACGTACTTAGATTTCATTTAGTTCAGGTAGGTGACAAGCTCTACAATATTTTCATCAGTTATATATTTCCAACATATTTCAAAGTAAATTTTGGTTGCTTCCTAAATGCCAGTATTTCTTG